TGTTTTGAACACAACAGGTATTCTGAAAATACCTTTTGATCAGGGATATCTTTCCATTCAGGATAATTCCTTTCAAATTCTAAAATCCTATAAGCACATGATGCAAAATGGACCAGGACTCAAAAAGAGCCAGGTTGCTGGATGGTGTTCTCTAGCCAACATGACTGTTTTAGCCAAAAAACCTTCCAGCCCAGTTAAGCTTCAGCCACAACTTCTCCCAATAACACACAGAGCAAGGTTCTCCACTGCAAGTTTCCCCAGATCCCACCCACTTTCCTACCCTACTTCAGAGGCCCTCTCTCTTCAATAAAATTTTAGGAGCACATCTTCCTTAGAAATGATGAGCTACCATTTAAGAGCAAGCCCAGTGCTAGGCAGTGCAGATGGAAGGAGAGGTCACATGACACATGCCACTTGGTGAGTTCCACACTGTCCCCAATATCAACATGCAAATGAAGATGCACTCACAATCAGAGACTGGTGACTCTTGAGACAAGAGCCACATGGATTCTAAACAGTAGCAAATGTTGGATGAGCACACAGGGAATAAAGGATGGCCATGGTGGGTCAAGAATTGAATACCTGGACTCCTGGAGAATATCGCCTCTTCTGGGCATGAGAGGGTCCACAGGTTTGAAAACAAGAGAGGGCACAGAAGACAGGAGACCAAGTCAGAAAGAAACGGCCATGGAAGAGCTAAGACCCAGTGGTGGTGGGTGAGCAAACCAGTCTCAATCCCCAAACAGAAATTTAGGGTCCGTGGAGGGCACTCAAGTCCTTGTGCCTCTCAAAATTATAGGCAAAACTATATGCACAGGTGCTTGTACATTATGAGGAGAGGAGGTGTTACTATCACCAGATCTGCAAAGAAGTCCTCTGGGAAGACCTCTCTAAGGTCCTGAAGCTTACAGAAGCTTTATAAAACAGACAGCATTACACCATCCAAGCAGGCCCCCCTTATGTCTCTGAGAGTCAGGAGGTCAGGCCACAAGTTTGTACCCAGACTGCAGTATTTCCATAGCAAGGGGAGAGACAGGAGAGACAGGGCTAAGTTCTCCCAAATTCAAGATGCTGTTTACTGCCCAGGATCTCAGAATATAGCTAGTGCCCAGAAGACAAAAAGCCCAGCACGTGAGAGGCTGTGAAATGAACATGAATCCAAAGGGATCATTCACCCTCTAGTTGAGCCTGTGGACATATATTTCCAAATATATAACCTATAACATGTGGGCAAGGCAAAGCTCCATGGGAGTGTTGAAACATGGCAAATGGTTCAAGGATAGTTTTGCTCCAGAAAACTGCTACAGTACTAGCAACAAGAGATACCTACACTGGCTCAGTTCAGCCCTACCCTAGAGAAGGGTGTGTAAGGGTGTAGAGCACAAAGCGTTCCTTCCTCTGATGCTTCCTGAGACCTGTTACCAGCCAGACACTGTTCCAGATGCTTTAAGTTCAATGGGAAACAACATAGACAGGCTTAATGGAGCTGGAACTGGAGGCTGAAGAATCACAATGACTCGGGCAAAGGCGGCAGTTCCATTCCTAACTGAAGAGTCACCAAAAATGAGGAACTCCTGCCTATTGTGCAAATCGCTGTCTGGAGGGTGGAGACGTGCTTTCACATTTTTGTACTGCAAGGCCACTTTTGTTAAAAAGGCACCTACATATAATTGTACCTTCAACATATCTTGATTGAAAGGAGACCCGTGAACTTGTGGATCTACGAACCCTATGCTAACATTCCCCAGACCCGAAGCACACAGCTGTGAACCACTGAACAGAAAAGAGCAAACATGGCCTCTGTCAGCAGGGAGAGCTGTTCTAACTGCGGCCACGCCACTCCCAGCTTCACAACTTGGGGTGAGCTCCACCAGCTGAGATTCCCTCTCCTTGCCGGAAGCAGGGAGAACACACGGCACACAGGGCTAATTCTGAAGATGAAATGAGACGTGTAAAGCATCTGGTACAGTGTCCGGCATTCAGGAGGGAGTCAATAAATAATAAATGTTCATTCAATCCATGACTAAATGAATGAATTCCAGATAGAAATATTGTTTACAGGTGCTCATATATAACCACAACGCTAAACACATAGTTTAGAGCAGTAATTCCCAGATCACTGGCTTGTCATGGACCAGTAAAATCTCCAAAAATATTTTGGAGGTTAACAGGTTTACCTTGTTGGTTTTCTGATCTACTAAATACATTAAAATACAATAATGACAAGACAACCATCTTTATAAACATCACTTTTTTATAAATATCATTTTTAAAAGAACATTTTAATACCAAAGATAGAAATATGTAATGTCATAATAAAACATTTGGCATCTATCAAAAGTCTCCTCACTGTTCTTACTCTCAGACCAGTGAAACTGTCACCAACCAACAGGAGCTCATGAACTTGGGAGCACTTGGGAGCCACTCTTTAGGGCAGTTTTTCCAACTAAACCATCCTGCAGTTGAGTAAGCCGGCCGAGTTTGCTCTCTGAACCTAGACAGATACGAAGAAAAACGGTAGGAGAGAACAGAGCCACGACGGCTACTGCGAAGACACCTGCAGGATGGCCCTGTGACACTTAGTGGTGAGAACAGCTAGCACTTTCTGCGAGCTTACTCTGTGCCAGGCACTGTACCAGTAATGAGCACATATGCATTCCTTTAATTATCACCACCCACACGGTTATAGTATTGGCATTCCCATTTCACAGGTAAGAAGACTTGTTTAAGAGGACAAAACTTGTTTAATAGGTTTTGCCTTGGCCGGTGTGGCTCAGTTGGTTGGAGCATCATCCCATACTCCAAAAGGTTGTGAATCTGATTCCTAGTCAGGGCACATACCTAGATTGTGGGTTCGATCCTGGTCGGGTTGCATACAAGAAGCAACCAACCAATGTTCTCTCTCATCTCTCTCTCTCTCTCAAATCAAGAAGCATATCCTCAGGTGAGGATTAAAAGAAAGGAGAGAGCGAGAACACAGGAATTGAGTAGTGAAAGCAGGATTTGAAACAGGCAGCCAGAGCCCAGAGTCCTGGCTCAGTCACTCAGCGAGAGCTACACTGCTCTCAATATCTACCAATATGGAAAAATGCTTAGTATATACTGTGAGATACAAAAACAAGAAACTAGGTCTCTACCCTGAAACACAAAGGAATACTGGGGAATGGTTCCAGATCGAAGGAAGGACATGACAACTGAATGCACATGGCATCTTGGCTTTTCTTTTGCCATAAAGGACAGATTTGACAACTGATGAAATCTGAATAAGGTTAGTAAATTAGGCGATAGTATTGATATCAATATTAAGTGCCTGGTTTTGATCACTGTGCTGTGGTTATGTAAGAGAATTCCTTGTGTTTAGGAAAAACAAGTGAAGTATTTAGAATAAAGGGAGCATCTTAAAGAAAGGCAACTTGCTGCTTAGTTCAGGAAAATATACACAGACAGACAGAGACACAGATACACACACAGAGGTGAAGAAAAGGCAAAGCGCTCTGCCAGCACGAGTCAGTGGTTAGAGCATCAGCCTGTGAATGGAAGGGTCTTGGGTTTGATTCCCGGTCAAGGGCACGTAGCTGGGTTGCAGGTTTGCTCTCCCAGCCCCAGTCAGGGCGCATGCAGGAGGCAACCAATCGATATTTCTCTCTCTCTCCCTCCCTTCCATCCTCTCTCAATGGAAAAAAATATCCTCCCGTGAGGATTAACAACAACAAAAAAGGCAAAGCAAATGTAATAAGACATTAACATTTTGGGGAATCTGCGTAAAGAGCACCCTGAATTCTTTATATTATAATTTATCTGTAAGTCTGAAACTATGTCAAAATTTTTAAAAGGTTAGTCTGAATCTAGTATTTGCCATCTTCTCATTTTTCTACATATCTAAAAAACTTAAAATTAAAAAAAACGGTATCTTCATGTGATGTAATGTTTTGTTTTTAAAAAGTTGTTTGTATATTTTGTTTTAGCCTTTTCTGATTTTTCTATAATGAGCTTTAATATAAAAAGAAGAACAAACAAGTGCCCCTTCTGCAGCATCTCCCTTCACACCTCCGTCTGTCCCTCCCTTTGGACACTGGTGGAACACACAGAAGCCATTTTTCAGGCTTAAAAACTTTGTAAGTCACTGGTCCTACAGTAATCTTCATCTAACTAGCCCTTTATGCAGGAATCTGGTACAAAGGTGACAGGATAACTCAGCAACATCCATCTTACATAGAGTGACATCAATGAGTTCTCACATCATTGGGCAGCACGAGAAGGCCCTGGCTCCCTAAGCTCCCAAACTACTACCAAGCTATACCAGGGACTGTCCCCAAGTCTTAAAGCTCAACTGAGGACACTCTAGCCAGTTAACTACCTGGAAGACTTTCACATTTGTGAACATTACCATGATCTTTTAAACTCATGGGATGATTTTAATCCCATTTATGTTAGTTGTGACCCCACTAGAACCAAAATAATGTAACTTGAGGACTTCAATAGTGCTCTAAAACCAGAAAGCATTAAACTTGATGTATGCCCAAACACCGAACACTGAAGTTCATGACTCGTCTACCCCGATTACAATTGCCAAGATTCAGAACACTGCCTAATGCGCATGTCTCCAGTTCACTGCTGCCCATCATTCTGATAGTATGTGGATATGTCTCGTTAATGAGAAGATCTTGTCTACAGTTCTACTTTGAGGAGTTCATGAACTTCCTAAAATTGAATGCAAAATCCCGTGTAACTGCATCTTTCATCATATTCTCAAAAGGGTCAAAACCCAAATAAAGTAAAGAACTAACCCAAAGCTAAGCGCAGGCTCTTGCCTTTTTTCTCCTTCTTCTCTCCCTCTTTCACTGTCTCAAAAACAAAACATCTTCTCCTCACCTTCACTCAATTCCAGCAGAAAGCCATACATTTCTACTTCCCTCAAAAATTAGCTCTCAGCAATGAAACAGCCTCACTGCCTACTCACATCAGAACCTGCCAATACTCCACACACCTACTCTCCAAAGGAGTACCTTGAAAAACACTACCTCACCTGGGACCAAAACGAAACCCGTAAGTCACATCCATGTTGGATGATAACAAGAGAATTTAAGACGGATGAAGTTCCCTTAATAACGTAAAGATTCTTTCTGCCGACAATGAAGAGACCAAGAGGGACTGGTGTCTTCATCAAGGGAATGTGTTGTTGGTTTAAAATAGAGGAGTATTTTTTTAAAATATATTTTCATGGATTTCAGAGGAAGGGAGAGGGAGAGATAGAAATATCAATGATGAGAGAGAATCATTGATTGGCTGCCTCCTGCATGCCCCCAACTGGGGATCAAGCCCGCAACCCGGGCATGTGCCCTTGACCGGAATCGAACCTGGGACCCTTCAGTCCGCAGTCTGATGCTCTATCCACTGAGCCAAACCAGTTAGGGCAAAGGAATGTGTTTTTAACCTTGATGGCACAGTATTGTTAATTTTCTTCCAGTTTCAAAGGAGGAAAAACAATGATCACATTATAAAACATGGGGAGTGCCTCAAACTTGCTTCCAAGCTGGCTGGACCTGGGACCATGAGCTTTCTCCCCCCTCTCCCACCCGCCGTCTCACCTCACGGAGGGAGGCCCAAGTCTCCCG